GCCAACATGATTTTGAGATGTTTTTTAGATTGAATAATATTTGAGAGCAATGTTTTGAGAGAATTAAGTGTTGTGAAAAAATAGTGAAAGAAAGTTTGTTTTTATAGTATTAGGAGATAAAACGTTACAAAACTTTTGTAATTCTATTATAAATTATAATTAAAGAAAATAATTTAATTTAATAGTGTGGAAAACCTTTTGTATTCTAACCTTGTTTAGAACATGGACATTTATTATTATATTATTATTGATAATTAATAATCAATAATTAATTTAATATTTATAATAAATTATTAATGACATAATTTGTAAATTAATAAAGTAAGAAAGGGACAAAAGCGTCCAAAAATGTTTCTCCGAGATCCTCTCATTTTAATATAGTATAGATTAGATATTTGTAACATTACTATTAAATACAAAATAGAAAATTCAAGAACCTATTAAACACGCAATTCAAAGTTTCATAATTAAATCTGTAATTTAACAAGTTTTTTGGTGGGTAAAAAACTATTTTGAGACCAAATTGAATGGGTAATCTAAAACTAATCCAAAATTAGGAGTAAATTGAAAGATTAGTATGAAATAATTGATTTAATTAATGTGTGAAAGGAATACCAAATTAGGGTTTTTGATTAGTCCAAGATTCGAATCAAGTCCAGGTTCATTGTATCATAATTTCTGTTTTTAACAAAATCCACGCGCCTTTGACGCGCGTGACCAGTTTTCTAACAATACGCCGCCGCCGCGAATGTCCTTACAAAATCAACATTAAAATAATATTATTTAATGTGACCGAAATTTCATTGTTTGACTATGGTACGTATTCAGTTCAGTTATGTATTTTTATCGGCTTTTTTATTTTTTTCTATTTAAAATGAAGCATAAAATAAAACATAACATATTATTCTCTTCGACAAAAAATATATGGGCTCTAAACCAATATTTTTAATTTAGTTCTTAAAACTTTTTATAGTTTAAAATTAATTTGTAACAATTTAATCCGTAATCGTTTTACTAAAATTAATTATTAATTTTATGATTTTTATCGTATAACATTTAGTCTTTCTAATTTTAATAAACAAAATTTGTCGCTCGTTAGTTTGTCGATCTAAATGTATAAAAAATTTAATAAAATATATCACGATAGGTACAAAATTATTGTCGATCTAAATTATTACATACTAAAGTTAGATTAAATTATTACATACTAAAGTTAGATTAAATTATTACCAATTTAAAAGTACATGGACTAAATCGTTACGGAAGTAAAATCACTATTTTAACAAAACTATAAAACTATAATGAACAAATGTGTTTTTTAACTTATATTTTTACTGTAATATACATCTTTTTAATTTCCGTTTCAATATTTCCAAAGTTTTCCATTTCATTTATTTGTCTCCACTTATTGTCAATTTTGTTTCAAAAGAAAATATCTGACGGTAGGATTTTTATTTAAAATGCCAATATTGGGGGATATTTTTTGAAAAAATCGTAAAAAAATATTTAAATTAATATTTTACTATTTTCAAGTTAAAAAAATTTATTATTAATATATTAGGTCTTTGGTGATATATTTTATATTTGTGGATATTTTTATTATTTTTTTATTTTGCGATATTATTGAAGTGTCTATTTATCTCTTATGTTGATGTTGAAAGTATAAATTAGATATATTGAAATGTCAAATGAAAATTTAATATCCTACACTTATCTTGACAATATATTCTCCTCAAAGCGTACATTTTCAAATTTGATATCTCAATTTTATAGAAATATAGATAGAAGCATAAAAAAAATAAAAAAAAAATCATAATAAATATTTAAATTATCAAATAAACGGTCCACTATTTATAAATAAGCTAAAAATTATTAATATTAATATTTTGTCTATATTAACGATATTTTATTGATATATATATGTATATCAATGAAGTAGGAGTACAAGCCAAGTTGAGAAAACCAAGTTAAGCTGGTTCAATTTAATTTAAAGTACAAAATCGAAAAACAGTTAGTCAATATCATTTAGATAAATTTTTGAATTTTATTTTTCAATATTCGATTTCTTAGAAATTTGGTTTGTTTAGTTCAATTATGACATGAGTGGAAGATCGAACCATCAAACTTAGAAATTAGAATGGTAATAAGAGTGTGTCAAGAAACTCTTTGAGAATTGTATCTAATAACGTCGTTGACAAACAAGACCTTTACATTACAGACTCAAAACCCCAAAACGATCATAGAATCAACCCAAGGAAAGTAAAAATCGAATTACCTTATTGATCAAATATCTCAAGGTAAGAAAACTCGTTCATTGTTTGAGATTCGAATCACTCCACAAGCAAGACAGATCAAGTCTCACTTGAATTATTCTAACATGCAAATTCTAAAATCACAAGAAATGGAAGATAAAACTTCCAACCGAACTAATGAGAAAACTTATTTTTTATTCAATTTCAAATTGTGTCTAAAAAACCTAAGGCTATATGTAGTCATCCTAATTTAAAATTATAACTTCCCATAAATGAAAATACTTACAAATGAAAAGACATAACTTACAAGAAATTAAAGTGTTTGCAAGTGAAAAGACATAACTTAAATAAATGGAAAAACAAGCAAATGAAAAGACTAAGAAAATGGGAAGCCAACTAAATAAATCTCAATCTCGTCCATAATGAAGGACGTGAGTGTTTATCTTTGATTTTGAATTGAATGAGTTGACTTTGACTCGTCGACTCTGACCTTGACCAAGTTGTCTTTAACTTGCCTTAAAAACACTTAGAAATGCATAACTTGCACCAAATTGTGCACATCTTCCTTTGATTCCTTTGTTGAGCTCACCATCGCAAGGCTGGTTGTTTCCTAACTCTTGATTTTGTAATTGGTCCAACTCCTTGGTTTATATCAGAGTGATTTTGGTGTAAAATCACTTTCCTTCCATTCATTATCTTTAGCAAATTAAAAAGTTGATTTTAGAAAAACTTAAAATCATTTTAACTTAAATGATAATTTTGAAAAATCAATTATACTTTGAATCTTTTTTTTTTTCAAAATTACTCATTCTACCATGATTCCCACACACCCTAAGTGTCTTCACTCACCAATTTTTCTTAAACTCGCATGTTAGCTCAACATCAATTTTATTGGACCAAAACTATATATTCAAATCCTCTAAAGTACTATTGAGAGAAAGAGATTGAAAAATGTTATACTAATTCAACAGCACAAGAGAAGTTGAAAAAATATGAGAGATCAAATGAAGCAAATTCTTACATAATTTCAGCAGTAAATGAAATCACTTGCTGGCCTAATTGATTATATACACACAACAATCACACACTGAAGTCTTTAACCAACATTTTTTTTATACCCATTTCTTCTTTTTCTCTCTCTCTACAACTAGGTGATCTTCTCCTCTGATCTCAATGGCCCTTTTAGTTTGGACCTCCATTCTAATCCTCCCTATCCCAAAATGTCTGTTCTAACATCTTCAAGTGGTGAGAAAGGAAAAAAAATATATGAAAATTTAAGAGTTTCTCCCCTGTATCCAATTCTGATAGCGATAATCAATCGGCTTTCGATGTTGTTTGTGATTCATCTACCCTCGTTACTTAGATGCAATGATCCGTCTCTCATTAACTTTAGGCTTAGACTGTTGAATCTTTCCCGCGAATATTGTCTTGATGCTTTTCGCCAATCCGTACCCGCCGTCATCATGGCTACAAACTCCTCGTAGCTTATACGTCCATCCTGAAAGAAATGAACGAGAAAATAATATATATTTTTGATAAGAAACAAAGCTTTCATTGAAAAATATGAAAGAATATATGATGGGGCATATATAAAATATGTCTACCAAAACAAGATCAACCTACAAGAAGGGAACTCAATCTAAAAGAATGACATCTAAATGAAAAAGACTTAGAAACAGGCATCCACAAAGAGGTATTAAATCCAGCTAGATCCCAAACTTCCCTCCAAGACCTCTCCACCTCCTAAAACTCCTACTACTTCTCTTGCTCCAAATACCCTACAAAATAACAAAGAAAAAAAAAGAAGCAAAATAGCAAAGAAAAAAAAAGAAGCCGGGCACAACAGGGCCCCTCTATCCCGAAAAGGGGGCAAAGCAAAACCTCCTTCACCATCGCCCTACACACCCTATTACAAGCCAAGGACACTCCAAAAATCTCTAGGAACCTGCCCGATCGGGAAGGTGTGGGATTAGTGTGAGTAGTTCATGGACATAATGCAAGTAGGTCCTAAAGAAACGATTGTATTCAGCTACAAATACTGACCTTATCTGTGTCCACATCATGCATGATGGCACTGATAACCTCCTCGCCATTCGTTTCATCATCATCGTTTAGTGCATTTCGAAGCTCTTCGATCTCTATGTACCCACTCTGGTTTTGATCAAAGAACGAAAACGCTTTGTGCAGGTGTTCATCATTGGCCATCTTTTTAAGATGAACCGAAACCGCGACAAATTCTCCGTAATTCAATGTCCCATCACCATCAAGATCAGCCTGTCATAGTTGTACACTTTGCTTAGGATAACAATAACAACCAGAAACTTGCCCCTCCTATGTTTTACAACAATGAAAACCAGATAGAACTACTGTGAGCTCATCTATTATGCAGGCAGACCAATATTCAGTGGTTACATTATACTGTTCTTCACTTCCTCCACATGTTTTTTCATCAAGTAAAGTAAGAAAATCCGAGTATAAAGTTCAAATTAAGATGACGAATGATTATGCAGAGTTAAGAGCACAGACCCATGTGTTGTAATATTGTTTTGAGGACAGTGGCCAAAAGCTAGATGGAGTTAGGAAGAGAAGAATGCTTACAGATTCGACGAGTATCTGAAGATCGGGGTCGGGAATCTGCTGACCGAGCTTTTGTAATCCTACACGAAGCTCCTCAAGGTTTATCTTCCCTCTTTTGCCAGTATCCATCATTTCAAATGCCTCCTTGATTCCAGCCACTTCCTCTACTGATAAATGCTCGGCAATAACCTGATGTAAAAAAATTCAAATATTAGACATAAAGCTACTTTGATATTAAATATTCAGCAAGAATTCTCGAATCGTCGCAAAGTTTTATTCGTATTCAAGTTGTTATTACCCGTAGAGCTCTTTTCTTGAGCTTGTTCATTACTGAAAACTGCTTTAGCCTTGCTTTCACAGTCTCACCCAATGAAACATTTGGAGCCTTTTTGGCATTTTGTAACCATGGATGTTCTACATATGAACAAAAGGGAAAATCATTAAGAAGTGAAGCACTGAAGTGAGAAGCCAACATAATCTTCAGTCACTGAATAAAACTAGTACCAAGGACTTCTTGAGCGGTAAGTCGCCTTTTGGGGTCAGGATCAAGCATTTTCTTCACAAGGTCCTTTGCATTGTCGGAGACTATAGGCCAGGGGTCCCTCTTAAAATCGATTACCGAGCGAATGATAGCCTGCGCAACCCCCTGTTCGGTTTCTGGTTGCAAAAATATGAAGAAACTCAACCAAACAGAAACAGAGATGGATAAAAATCTTCATTTATATGCTTCCCTTATGAGAAAATGGAGAAGATTTTCCATAATGATTCTCCAACTCTATCCCTTACAGATATTAGGTGAAGAAAAAAAGAAGAAAATATATAAGTTATGAGAAACAAACCTGCCCAAAAAGGTGGGACACCACAAAGTAAAATATAGAGTATAACCCCAGCACTCCAGACATCAACTTCTGGACCATAGTTCCTTTTCAGGACCTCAGGCGCCATGTAATACGGACTTCCAACAATTTCGTTAAACCGCTCACCTAACGGGATCATAAATTTGTTATATTACACTTGCAGACATGAAAGCAACTGTGTAAGAGAGGTAAGAAGTAGTCATGCTGAATGGATCTAGAGGCCAATACCAGGTTTGAAGAACACCGATAACCCGAAATCAATTGTCTTTAACGGAGCTGTTTCCTTCTTATTTCCAAAGAGGAAGTTTTCAGGCTTGAGATCACGATGCATAACACCGTGTTTATGACACATCTGCATGGCAAAATGCATATAACTATATGAGCAAGTCATATTACTTCTCAATAAGCTCAACAAAGATGGAGGTATTGCCACCATCAACGATAAGTTTCAACCAGAATATGCAATCAATCGTGCAGCAGAATAGACATTTTGAAGTTGAAAACACAAAAAGGATATAAAGATTAGCAGCAACAAGGCAATAACATTGTTCCAAATATTAGTTATAAGTTATAGGTTAAACTACAAATTTAGTTGCTAAACTCTTACCCTTGTGTCCATTTATTTTTCCGGTAAACATCGTTAATTAAGTTAACCATAACAATTACATTTTTAGTTTTCTGCTTATTAAAATTATTCATACTTCTCAATCTATTGTAGTATGTTTTTTACCATTCTTACAAATATATCTGAATACCTAGCCAAATTTCAAAAAGAAAAACAAGTTTTTAAAAACATGCATTTTTTTTAGTTTTTAAAATTTGGCAGATTTTGAAAATGTAATTAAAAAAAAAGTAGATAACATAGCAAAAAGAAAAACACAAAGAGATAGATATAATGTTTATAAACTAAAATTTCAAAACTAAAAAACTAAAAGTTAAATAATTATCAAATAGGGCCTAAATAATTAGGTGACATGCCTATTAAAGAAATGTGGGCTAATTTGACATGATGTGACACAGAAATAACATAAGAAAGTGGACAACTAGATAAATCAAAGTGACATGGTCTATAAACAAGGATTTGATGTGTTGCTTTAGAGATAGGGTATGTTGCATGAGTCATTTTTTATCTTGTCCAGTCATCCAATTCTCCACTTCCTTTTACCATTTATGTAACACACCGTGCCACCAATACTTTCCCAAAGACATGCCTATGCTATCAACTTATCATTTAGTTTTTTAATACGAAACCACACTTCTATTGAGAAAAATGAAAAGAAGAACAAGGGCATACAAAAAAACAGTCCTACAAGAGGACGCCCACTAAAGAAAAGGGCTCTCATCCAAAAGAAAAACACCTAACTGATAATTACAAAAGACCTTAGAGATCGAACTCCACAATGAAATCATTTAGTTAACAACTATACAGAATCGTAATTCAAAGTTCAAATAAACAAAAATTATCTACAGTTCAGAAGCTAAATAAACGCAACAATCAAAGTTCAACGACTAAATCTGTAACTTAAACGTTAAACCCAAGTCATAATCAAATCAAACAACCAAAAGAAATATTATCAAGCGCCATGGAAACAGCTCAAGCTCACGAAGCAATAACAATCTTATCCTCGACCCTCCAAAAAAACAACTACAAGAACCACAAAGATGGACAAGAATACCTGAACAACTTCAACAATGGTCCGCATGACAGCTGCAGCAGCTCGCTCTGTGTAATGTCCCCTAGCAACAATCCTGTCGAACAACTCTCCACCTTCACACAGCTCCATCACAATATGAACAGCATGCTCATCCTCATAGGTGTCCTTCAGCGACACAATATTCGGGTGCTTAGGCAAATTCTTCATAATCTCAACTTCCCTCCTCACATCATCTATATCCACAGCCGTTCTCAGCTTCTTCTTCGAAATGGATTTGCAGGCGAGTTTCTCTCCAGTGGATAAATCAGTGCATAGATAAGTTATTCCAAATTCGCCTCTCCCGAGCTCGCTGCCCAGATCGTATTGAGCAGAAATGTCGCGGCCCGTCGGATCTTTCAACACCCAGTTCCCAACGCCATTGCCGTTGCTCACTACATAATCTGCTGCAAATGGGTTCGGCTTCTTGTTCTTCCCCTTGTGATGATTCTTCCCTGAAGGAGTGGCCGGCGTGGCGCAGCAATTCCCCATGAATCAGATCCTCGAGCTTTCAGAGGGTCTGATTTCTACACAGACTCTAACAACACCCAGTAAACGAAAAGGGGGAAACAGATCTCGATGTTACAAAATCTGCAAGACGATTGATTAAGACAGAAAAGTTTGATTGAATCGTGAGATATGATAAAGGGGAATCGAGATTTTAAAGGGGGATATTAGAGGGTATTTGAAAGCAATAGCTTAGAAAGAAACAAGAAAACACTTCATATGAATGTAGAAAGGGGGGAAAAACAACAACAGCCCGCAAATATCTTCCAGAATTATCCAAAAGCGAGAGAGGATGGCCTTGTCATGGACCAAACAAAAGGGAAAGAAAAAGAAAAAGAAAAAGTTAAAACGCTGAGTCTGAGAAAAGCAAATAGTAAGAAATTTTTCATAACGTTTGAAATACAACACACATAACAGAGAAGGAAGAAGAATAAGAAAATCCCAGAAAGCTCACCTGAAATCCAGGAACGAAGATCAAAATTTCTCCGAAAACACCCAGAAATCGAAATGGGTTTCTTCTGAATCTTCTGAAGAACTCAACGAGAGAGAGATTGAAAGAGTTGTTCCGGGGAAAGATTAAGAAGGGGAGGAAAAAAAACTCTTCAAAAGTGTGAATGCGCCATGGGTTCTCTGAGAGAGAGGTCAAAGCTCGTTCTGCAGAGACCCTCTCTCTCTCTCTCTCTCTCTCTCTCTCTCTCTCTCTCTGAGTTTCTCTCAATTCCAATTTCTCTCTCCTTGATTCATTGAAGAGAGAAAAGAAAACTCTTTTTTCTTCCCCTTTGTTTTCTCTCCCTTTCCCAATCAATGGGTGTATTTTTCCTCTCTTTCTCTATTAATTTATCTTTTGGAATTTGGTTTGGAGTTTTCAATTTCATGTACATTGCAAATTCTCCCAAGAATTATTATCATCACTTTGCTTAAATCAAAACAGATATATTCAATCAGACAAAACAAATGTCCCTCCCCAATTCCTGCAACTCCAACCAATTACATGTGAATGATCTTAAAGTATAGCCCAAAGTACCACCAATTACTTTGCAATACCATAAATTTAATATGTATTTTTCTAAAGTCGCAATTTTTATTTTTTCAATATGTATGACTTTTTGTTTGTGCTATTTATTTCGTATTATGCTGTTTTTGTAAATTTTTTTTAACTTCACGTTATTTTCCTTTAGCAAAATAAATATATGACGTGAAGATTTAAACCTATAACTTTTTCAACCAAAGAATCGATAAAAAAAGATTCCACCTATATTTTTTAAAATTGTGGAGTTTAAAATACAACTTTTGATTAATGTTATTTGTGCTGTTAACTTGTTTGATATATTTAATAATGCATGATTTGATTTTGTTATGTCATCTTATTAAAGTTATGCTATAATTTATTAGTTTGTTATATATTGATTATTGTTGCCAAATTTATTTAAAATACCTTTTTAGGCCGCCTCACTCAATAATTAAATAATTAATATTTTCTATATACTATCTTATACATACACATTAATGAGTGTGGAAGTAAATTTAAGTCCAACTCAACTAATTTGTTGGTTCAATTTTTGTTCCGGACGAAAATTAGATTTGTAACTACTTTTATAAAAATGCGTAAATTTAAATGATAAAGATACCCACTAAAATTTTTTGAAAAATAAAAATTCAATTCTTATGTATCTTTCAATAGCTTAGTTAGAATTCAATGTGTAACACAAAATACACTAATAATTTGGAATTAATCAAAGATATGTGCAGGCTAATATGATCATGACAATTATTTATTAAAAAAAAAGACTCCAAACAAATACTACAAGACACTTGTTTTATAAAATTAAACATTCTTTAGTTTCATTAATGCTTCAAAAGGCTTTTTTCTTTAGTTATTTATTTATTATTATTGTTGTTTTTTTTTATATTTTTGTTCTCACTTAAAAATTTAAAATGTTGCAATTGAATACTACAAAGGAAAAAAAAAAGTTGGGATTTGTTTTAAGTTTTAAACCAAACCCATATAAATATGGGGTTGAGAAGCCACCAATTGTTCAACACATGTACAGTTGGTTGGACTTTTTGGACTTTTCCATTCAAAATTTCTAAGATTTATGCAAAAAAGTAAATGTGGATAAAATCTTCTTCCCCAACTCATACAAAAGCTAGCTCCCCTCTTTGGTCACATTTTGCAACTACTTTTTGGACTTTTTTGTGCTCAACTAAAACTATGAAAAGTAATATATCAACATATTATACTTCACTATTTTATTATTTTTGTTAATTCCTTTTGACCCGACTAAATTGTTCAGGATCTAATAAGTTCAATATTAGTTTTTCAAGACGTTGATGAGTAAATGCGTCCACAATAATTAGGACAGATATCTCTTGTCCGAAAACTAGTGGTTTGCACATAATCTAGATTTACAAACTCTAAATCAAAATTTAATGAATTATCTTCCTAGAGTCGGCTAATGAAGTAATCATATGAATTGTAATCACGATTGAAATTACTGAAAAAGATTTGTTTGTCTAATTCATCTATAAATCTAAGAGATATATTTTATTAAATGGGTGTCTAAAGATTTGTTTGTCTAATTCATCTATAAATCTAAGAGATATATTTTATTAAATGGTATAGACACCCAGAGTATTTTTATATTTTAAAAGGAATTTTTTTTAGATCACTATTTTAAAATGATATATAATTTGGTTCAAGTTTTGAGAGTTTCGGCTTTTTTTTTCCTTTTTTTTACTAAGGATAGAGAGTTTACTCATAAAGTATTTGAATTTTTTTCAATTAAATACCTACTTGTTTGTGTTGAAATTGAATAAAATATGGTGATGTGAAGATCTTTAAATACTTTATTATTACTATTTTTTGATATAATAATATGTAGAATGTAGAAATTTGAACTCGTAATCTTTTGATGGGAGATAAATGTCTTTTAACAGTTGAGTTAAATTCAGGTTAACAAAAGATTTGATGTTGTTTTAATGTTAAATCACTGAAGGAACGAGTCTATATCAACCGTGTTTTTTTTTCTCTCTCCAGATATTGGAAATTTTCTAACCATTTCTATCGAACTCTTATCGGGAATTCTACGCATAAACCCTAAGCCTATTTGTGTTCACGCTAAGAAACACTTTTAATGAAAAGTGGCAAAATATTTTAGTTTTTCTTTTAATTTTCCAAAGTTTTTCTTGTTTTATTCTACCAAAGTTTTAATTACGTTGAAAGGGAAAAAAAAAAGATGAATCTTATAGTTTGATATCAAGATACAAATGAAACAAAAAGATTTGTCAATAAAGCGACCTCAACACCAACAAAAAAGTCAACAGCACAACTCAATCAGAGAAACAGCAAAAGAAATACCATAAATCTTACAAACGACATACAACATAATAACTAGTTTAATTTATATAAATATAAATATACTTGTGTTCATGTTTTCTCATTTTGATAGTAATGAGGAATATGCTCTCCCGTTCCATCTCAATTTCTAAAATTACATGACAAAATATAAATATTTTTTTTATCGATTTGAATATATAAAGTATTATGTACACTTTAATGTTGTAAATTATGACTCAATTGAATCAATCAATAATTTTTTTTTCATATATTTAATATTTAAATTCTCAATGGTTATGCATGTAACATTATATTATATTATATTATATATATATATTTTATGAAAATATATGTTCTTTATTGATTTCACGGGATTGGACCAACTTGAGACATGGCAAAAAAAAATTTAGCAAAATTAGCAAAATAGCAACCATGTTTTGGTTTTCAAATATAGCATTTTTTTAAAAAAAGAGACCCACATATTAAATGACAACATTGTCCTGCAGGCCCAAATCCAAGCTCATAAAACCCTACCTTTTGATTTCCCTCTGATTTCTATCTTATATAAATGTGATATACTATTTATATGATCGTTTGATATACTATTGAAATGACTGTTTGATATACTACCGAAATGACTGTTTGATATACTAATGATATGATTGTCTAATATACTATTGATATGATAGTATGATTTACATATGATATAATGTTGATTTTACTTTAACAAAAGAATTAAATATGGTATTTTAATGCAAAAGTGCAACAATATTCAAAATTAGAATAAATAGATAACATTCTCAATATACTAGCACCAACCCAAATAGAAATCTTTTAAAATTAGTGCATCTAATTCGCCGAATATCTGAAAAGAGCCCACGAGATGCATTGATATTCAATCTAAATAGAAACTTTGTAAGATTTGGATTGAGGGAGTTTAATTAACTTGATTACAAGTTTAAACTATTTTAATGAATACCCTAGTATTGACCAGATTCATGTGTACATTAGATGTATATCGGAAATATATCAGAGGTAAATCAGATGTACATCAGATATAGATTGAATATATATCAGATACATATATACATCAAGTGTATATCAGATACAAATATATATCAGATATAGATTGGATGTGTATCAGATATCATAAGGGTAAAATTGGAATAATAAAAATTTCGAAAATAAAAATTCAAATATTTTGCTATATTTGAAAATTTGAAAAACTGACAACGTTTTATAAAATACATAAATATTTTTGCTATCCACTGCAATTACCCAAAAAAAAGTATTGCTTTGAAATGTTGTCGCACTAAAATAAAAGGAAAAAAAAAAGAAATTATCTACCAAAGAATACAAATATTGAAAATTGTATCAAAGAGTAATAAAAAAAATAAATACCTGAAAACTATGTTCATTTAAATATTAATTGTATATGTGAGCATCATGAAGCATAGAAAATTGGTTATTTAAGCACTCTCCCTTTTTTAGTTCTAACAACCGTGCGAATTCAAACTTTAGATTTTTTGATCGAAAATAAAAATATCAATGCAAAAATAAGTTTACTTTTTAAACCATAAAGTTAAATTAAGGGTAAATTAGGGATAGTCTTGAAAGTTGTTTTCAAAAATTAAATTTGGTAAAAACATGTTTGATGAATTGTTTTTCCAAAGATCTTATTCTTTAGATGGTCAGAGGTGTCTTTCTTGAAAAATTATGAGAATTTGTAAATGATTGCACATTTAAAAAGTTACAAATTTAGACGTTAACTTTTGGATTTTATATTTTTAACTCATAACCAGATAAGTTTTATTTTATTATTGGATACAAAATTGAAATCCAAACGAATATGTCAATCACCTAGCTTAGTGGATAATACTTAAATAGCACGTATTACTTTGAGGTTAAAGATTAAATCTCCCCACCCCCCTATATTTTATGGGAAAGAAAAACAAATAAAACTCGACCTAAGACTAAAAATTATATTAAAGTTTCTTGATTTCTCAAGGGTCGATTGAAGTTTTGACGTATAGAATAACCTTCCTTCCAAAGAGAACTATCTTTCTTAAATACAAAGAATCTTGTAAGCTTTTGCCCAAGTTATAGGAGGGGCAAACTTGTTAATTTCATATTTGGGCAAAAACTCAGTCTAACAATATTGGGCAAGTGAAATATCAATTGTGTAAAGATCGTTATTTAAGATGCTACGTTTTTATATGTTCAACATTTTCTTATTAAAAGAAATTGTAATATTACTTAAAAAAGTGTTGTTGTTTGTATTTATCATTTGGGTATTTTAGCAAATCTTACATGTACTTGTTCAATGGTTGGTCTTTGCATTTATCATTTAGGTCAAAGACTACTTTTTTTTTTAATCCAACAAAATCTCTTATTGAAAAATGGGAAGGATTTTATTTGACTGAGGAGGAAGACCAAGCAAAATGGTTAGTTGAAGAAATATTTGTGAAAGAAGTCCATTTAGGGGTTACTTTTGTTGGGAAACTTCTATCAAGAAAAGTAAGTGGAGAGACTTTCCAAAAGTGTTTGGAAAGTAGTTTTAGAAGACGGGAAAATGAATAATCGTCCATGTTATTAATAAGAAAAAAATGTTTCCCAGAGTATTTCATAGATTCAAACTTTCGACATTTTAGTCGATCATATATGTCTTAATAAATTGAGTTGAGCTGACTCGAAAAAGAAATGAATGGTAAAAGAAGAGGAACGAGGGTTGAGTATTAAATAAAAATCTTTGATTATTTAGCTAATTAACAAATCTAATTCGAAATCCAAAAGTATCCCAAGCTAATTGTTATAATAGTTAGTGCCTCAATAAGAGCAAAGCACATCGTACATGGCAACTTGGTGGGTAAGTTTGAAAGGGTATATATTATTATACTTGTTATGAAAATAACTTATGAACACAAGGTCACAACATTGTTAATAAGAGGGCTTTAAATTAAATTGGGATTGCCAAAAAAACAAAATCTATGAGGTTGGGTTCCGATTTTGTTAGATTTGGGAATCTCGGGGCAATTTTAATTACCCTTGTTTGATCATAAAAACGACCAACTAGTTAGAATTCGGGTGTGGTTGACGTACGCACAGAATCTGCACGAAGATAGAAAAAGACTCCGACACTCCAATCAGTCTATTTATACTCAGTATGAAGATAGTTTCGCGTAGCTGAAAATTGAACCAGGTTCTCTATTTATAGAGGTTGAGTTTCTTAGAGCAATTGAGGAGTTGTTATGACCGCACGATAAATCATGGTACTTTATTGGAGAAATGATTGTTGGTTTGCAACAAATAAGATAATGATCATTGACTCGTCTCTTAAGAGGATGAGCTATTAAGATCCTTATTGGTTGGCTTAGCCTTTAATAAGTTGCGAACAACCAATAACATTAATGTCAGGTCGGTTTTCAAGAAGTTTCGAGCTGTTTATTTTACCTTCAAAAGTTTGGTCTCCGTACTATATTATTATGATGACTTAGCACCTTTTCACTCACAAGTGCTGAAATGGGGTGTCTGAAAAATCATCTCCGACAACCCTAACTGCTGATGGTATAATATTCTTGCCTCTCCCCCATTTTCATCTTTATCATAAGAATACAACCCTTAATTATTTAGTATGTGCTGGAAGTTGGAGTGGATCTGACCGCTAGATGTTGTGGAAGCACGCGCTATTATAACGATAATGTGAATCTCACTGGCCACTTTTAGAGACCATTTACTTCCGTATCCTCTATTTGGTATGGAGCAACAATTTCAAAGGATGGCCTAATAATTTAAGTTAGAACCAACGTAAAAATAGGAAAATCTCTATTAATTTTTAGTTACAGAATTACCCTCCTAAAATGATTTTAAAAAGAATATATTATTTTCTATTTTTTTATAGAAGAATGTACCTATATTCTACCAGGGACAATTCAAATATTTTTAGAATCTTAGCTATATTTTTTAATTCAAATATTTTTCCAACAAAATTTTAGGAGAATTATACTAACAAATCTAAAGAAAAATATATTCATTGAGGAACAAATACAAACGATGATACACAAAAATATAATGTAATAAATAAATTTGTGCTTTTGTGAAAAATTAATACACAAAAATATAAAAGCACTCTACCTTCACAATCTGTAGAAACTTAACATATAGCCCTCTCTCTCCTTCGCCACCCGTCCCCCCACTTACAACCAGCTCTGTCACCCACCATGTCACCCCACCGTTGTTCCCTCCTTTACTCCCACTCTGATTGTTTCCCTCTCTAGTCGTCGTCTTCCAAAAAGAGTAGTAGTGTCAAAATCAAACCTGCAAAATAGGACACCTACTATAAATTTTGGGAATTCCAAAACCTAATGAGTTCCTATCTATTTGGGCCTAATAAACATCTAATTTTTCAAGTCGGCTTCCAACTAACCCATTTTACATTTAAATCAGGGGTAACGACATATATAACCCTTTAAAATAAAAATGTTATTTCAAAAAATGGCAACAAGTGAGGAGTGACCAACATAAAATAGAAAAATCCCGGTAAATATGAAATTATCATCCCATGATTTTTAAATGAATATATTATTTTATTCTTTTTTATAGGAGAATCATACCTATATTTTTTTACTAGTGAATCGTTAAAATATTTTGAGAATCTTACCTATATTTTTTAATTCAAATATTTTTCCAAAAGAATTATACTAACAAATTTAAGGAAAAATATTAATTAAATTAAAATCTAAAACAAAATTTAAACAAAAAAATATTTTAGAAATAGAAATATCAAAATTTAAACAACAAAATCATTTTAGAAATGGAAATACTAATACCGAGGATGTAACAAAATTTCAAATAAGGTAAACATATGAACAAATACGATTACCTGAACATTAAAATGAATGTATATATAAAATAAAGTGAACACATAATAAAAAAATTATATCTCAAAAAGGTACCGTAGAAATTCATACGGTTGATCTCTCTTCTTTACCCTCCGCCACTCCCCGCCCCACTTGCAACTTTTCACCCGCCTTGTTGCTCCACCGTTGTATCTCTTGCTCTCTCTCGCTCAATTTCATCCACTCCCTGCCCCACCTACAGTTATGTCACCCGTCTTGGCCTCCCTCGCGATACCCCTTGATCGTGTCTCTGAGTTATGTTATGTTATATTCAAATATATATTTAAAAAGTGAGATAAATTATTTATATAATCTAGGAAGAGAAAATGTAGAGATAATATAACAAGAAACAAATTTGAGAATTTAAGAGAGAGTATTATTTTGATTTTGAAAATAATAACTACATGGAAAGGATGGATAAGATGGTCAAAATAAAATCTCTAAAACGAAGTGACAAATAGGGACACCTCATACTATAAATTCTCTTAAATTAATAATAAATCAAAATTATTATTAATAACCAAATTAAATAATTTTTTTAATTAAATAATCAACGTAATTTCTAAATGTTCACCATGGATGTTAACGAGTTAGCAGGAAACATTGTATGGACCTACAGCTTTGAGGGAAAAATATTATCAATTAAGCTCTTTAAGTAATAAATTTTACCATTAACCCAATATGACTCCACTATAGACGAATAGTTGCACTTCCATGCACGGTAAATGAGTTAATTCCATGGATATAAATTATATCCGCTCATCCAATCCTTCAAAAGTGGTTCATAGTCCTAGTTGTATGAAATTACTGTTTTGCTCGTAGTCTCATCTTTGGCTCCTTAAGTCTTGTTGGTTTTCTAATGGTTAGTCTCCATGATTCCGAGAAAAATCTTCCTGGGATATCAAGAAGGCATGCATATACCTTATTATCAAATCTCCAAACCTGCACTTTAAAAGAATCACTCATATGTACATTTAACAAGAAGAAACCCACACTTTACACTTTCTAGTATTTAAAGTTGTAAATTTCATCTCGTGTAAGAATATTTTCAACTCCCCAATTAAATATGTTTAAAAAATAGAAGGGTGAAAGAAACGGAGACACAAAAATTTAGGGACCAAAAATAGTACTTTTAACCTATTATTTTTTGGTCTTGTGGTTGAATCTTGTAATTACACATTCGTCCTTCATATAACTCCATTTTGATATTTTATGGTTTTAATAAATACCTTGAAAGGCAGGTGTATGTTTAAATTTTTCTTTATGCCTTACATTATTTGCTAGACTTAATTCAATTAATTAAGTTATTAATACAATTTCAACATCTGCCTAGAGTACAATTTCAACATCATACATTAAATCGTTTATCTTGACAATACTAATGATGAATTTACATTTCAAGCCTTCGAGGACTATTACATGTTAATTGGTATTACATTTGAGCATCTAAATATCACATATTATACTCATATAAAAAAGTGATTAATGAATTAATAAGCCAACCTTAAAATTTAAGTATTTAAAAGTATTAACCGCTCGGCCTATTTCTCTCTCTTTTTTTCTTTTCTATCTCTCTTTTTAGAAAGACGTTAATGCAATTTTGGTTCTTAAATATTCGAAAGTAGTCCAGGTCGGTACAAGTTGATTCAAACACTCACAAATATTAAAAAAAAAAAGTGTTCACATAAGCTATGCCATCATTTTCTTTTTTAGTACGACTCATAAAGGTGGATGATCGAACTTACAACTTTTTGGCTGTAGCTTTGGTGGCTATGTGATTTTTTTAAAAGATTTTATAACAAAAGTAATAACGTAGTAAACTTTTTATCCATTTTTATTTAATCACAATTTCAACACAAACATTATACTCAATTTTTGTATTCCAAAGTTTTCCTCCGATATCAAATTTGTGTTAGAAATTTCCAAACAGAAATTAAAATATTCACTCTATTAAAATATATAGACTAAAATAGACGTATGGAGGTAAATAAAATAAAATAAACGTCTAAAAAAAAGAAAAAAAAAGTTGTTACTTGGCCAAAAAAGAGAAAAGAAGCATGGAAAAACTTGTGAATTATAAAAGGAAATGTAGGTAGGTCCAGTTGCTGAGGTGGCAGAATTTGATTGGTTGCGATGAAGCGAAGCCAAAAGCTTCTGCGTGTTTCTTGGCGGTGGGAAAAGGGGTGAAAGTGAAGAAATTGTTTGTAAAGTTTTTTCCTTTCGTTTCTCATTAACTTTACGAACGTTCCCCAAATTTTCTTCGCAACCAAACGCACTCTCAGCGGCGAAGAATCAACGGGAACCCAATATTTTTTTGTTTTGTTTTTTTTTTTCCTTTATTTTTTTTGAATCAAATCCTGCTGTGAGATGAGGAAAACAGGAGGGACCGAGAAGAAGAGGGTCAGAAGGCAATCAACTGCTGTTCAAAATGCTGCCAAAGATCCCAATTCCGACACTCCTCCTAGGGTTTGCCCTCTTTTCCCATCTAACTTCTTCATTTCCCTTCTGATTTCGTTTCCTGATCTGGGTTTTCGTCGCCGCGAAGAGGAAATGGGGGTTTCAGTATGCTTCTATGATCGATTTTTTGGATACCCGACTGGCGTATCCTTGCCCAGAATGCGTCTTTCACTAATGGGGTTTGATGTTTTGGACATGTTCTTGGAATTTTTCTTTTGGGTGCTTATATTTTGTGATTTTGCGAGAAATGTTAGAATGATTGATGGAGGTGAAGCTTACGGAATCTGCCATCTGTGATTTCGAATTCCTTAATGCAGAAACGTATGGCGTGTGGCTGGAGAAATGATTAACTTATGTGCTAATGAGTTTTCATTGTTTGGTGTTCTTACGTTGGTTTCTTATCAATGATAGAGAAAAAGAGAAGGCTTTTGGCTGCTTATATTTTGTGCTTTTGCGATTAAAGAGCGATTAATGTGCATGCATTTCAAAGGGGTTTTTGCAGTTCTCAGTTTTGCAGCTTTGGAGGGTAGGCCGAAGGTCAATTAGAAGTTTAAACTGTAAAATTAAAATAGCTTGGGCCCCAATTGCTCAGATTTGCATCCACCTATATGGGCGTTGTTAATTGTTATTTTATGGTTTGAATTTAGGAAAGTATAAATTGTGGGGTTCTGGTGTTTCATCACAAATTTAGAGTATTTTTAATTTCTATCAGTGACGATGAATGGGCATTTGATTTGGATATGCTGAAGGCATTAGACACCATTATTTCTTCACATTGAAACTTCTTAGTTTCTTTAGATAGAGTAGAAACATCTTAAATGGTTATCAGGAAGAGTGGAAGGTGATTGATTGATTGAGTGCATGTGAGTCGAAAGAGAGGGTAAAGTAAAAATGCTTTTGTTTTTGTTTAAATTAAGTTCTTTTAACCTCTATTCAGTATTGGTTTCAATTCGGCTGCCTTTCAGTTATCAATTATATTTTAATTACCTTCATGTTCAACATTGTGCTGAGTTAATATTCTTTATGTGCTTCTCAGTATGATGCGGATTGTTTTTGGTCCTTTTTCCAATTTCTAAAGGAACTTTTCAAGAGGTTTCAAATTGCTGCAGATTATGCACTGGTTGCTGGTGGTTCTGCATGCTTTTCTTTTATTCAGTTATAATTTATGAATTTCATGACTGCTACGCTTATATTATGATAGATTGTTTCAATCACCATTTTTTTATAATCAGGATTCTATTTTTTATTTATTTCATTTTGGCTGTCTTGGTGATCACACACTATATATTTTTAATCTTCAGAAACAAGCTGCAAAGAAGGACGTGTTTCAGTTGTTTGCTGAGAAGGTGAGAGACCACAAGGATTTAGAATCAAGGTGGGCTGTTTTACAAGAGACACGTGTTGAGTATTTCAGAGGCAAGGATTTTGTTAGTTTTTTGAGAAATCATCCGGAGCTCAAGGATATTCTTGATTCAGATAAGAATCTGGAAACTGAAGATATTGGCAATGCATTGCTAAGTAAGAATCTCCTAGTTCGGTGTGATCGTGTGGTGAAAACTGTTCGTCCTGGAAAGAGAAAATTGTCTACATGGCCCGCACATCTGGAGATATTCCCGGTGCGGATTTTTAATGCATTATTTCTCTCTTAAATTTGGGGACTAAGCCTCGTGCTCTCTACTTGGTCATATACATTTGATTTATTTTTTATGGCAAATATATGGTCACAGAATGCTTTTAAAAGTTATATTCAATTTTGAAATTCCAATATTCTCAATATTAATATCAACATTCTTATCTTCTTTTTCCTTTTTCCCATATTACCATTTCCTCTGTTTTTCCTTTGTTTTCCTCACGTGTGTTGTCGAATCTCTCTCTGGAATATTCTCAATATTAATAAGTGGCTTTTTTAAGTCACAATTCTGTTGGATTGTGAATACATACAGATATATACAGAAGGGGGGTGGACTGGGGTTGAACTAAACATTCTATAAAGAATACGGAAGCCTTCTTAATCTGCCAGTAGCAAGATAAGAGGAATATTGCATAAAGAAAATTAGAATTCATAGTCCAAAGAAAGGGCATGAAGTTGCATTCTATCCCATTTATCACCTATGTCCTCATATATTCCTTAAATATTTTCCTTCATTTCACCATCCAAACTCACAAACTAGCAGATGGGAAAGATTTGAAACACCTTCACCCCTTACTCATTTTGGATTTTTTTAGGCAAAGATTTGTTCTAGCCATTCCTTTTTTCTATTGAAATATAGTATTTACTCGCTGATTTAGCTAAATATCTTTAGCCAACCTTCTAATTATTTAGTAGCTGGCATCTTGATGCAAATTTCAAGTAATCATGGGAGAAACCTATTTATCTCATTCCCATAAGTTATTTGAATATCATGTCCTCTACCATTTTCCCAGGTTTTGAATGTGGAGCTTACTCTTGCAGGATCAGGTGTTCTCTGAACATGATGCCTTTTTTGCTTGGACGTTTGTTAAGCGGCGGCCATTTTGGCAGACACTTCTTTCATTTTGTTGGCCTGTGTTGACGCTTGCAATATGCTTGTTTCCTGTATATCCTCATCAGTGCAAGCTTTTGATACTCTACTCATGCGCTGGGGTTCTGCTGCTTATACTCTCACTTCTTTTATGTAGGTCATACAGCACTTTTCATTGGTTTATTTTTGTAATGTGCTTCATTTCTATACTATAAATCATTTAAATGGTGTTATCAATTTAAGTTTGTAGCATGAAGCATTATGGTAGGATGATACCACAAAGTTCTTAATGTTCACGTTTACTGGCCGTGTTGGATTTATTTTCTTTTGATACTGCGAGTGTTCAGGTCTGTTTATGCACACCTCAACAATTCTTGGCCATGTCGAACCTTTACGCCTGTATCATTTACTTTCAGTATCTGCTGCAAGTACCTGTTATTTGTATTCATTTTTTTGAAAATTAAAATACAGGAAAAGCATAATTTTGTTTGATACTTTTATTATTATTGTTTTAGGAATAAGAAGCCAGGAGTGCAATTTTTTTTTACCACTTTAAGACAATTCTCTAAGTATCAGGCAACACAAAAAGTAATTATTGTTGGATAGATTGGGTGAAAAAATTAGAAAATGATTGCAGAAATCGTTTATCTTTCTAGATTGTTGATCTCTAGGTGTTCTTGCTACTGACCAAAAAGATAGAGATGAAAACCATCTCAATTTTGAATTCAGTTTTCGATGTTATTTGTGGTGGCTTGGTTGGTTTATTTGTTCATTTATTATGTTTCTTCTTTGCGGATGTAGAAGAATTATCTTCACTTGGCTAGCACCCCAAAAGGTTCTCATTTATTTTAGAGAATCCTAAGTGGCTTGAGCCTTAGCAATCTCATGTTCTGTATTGCCCAAGTCCTTGGATTTTGTTTAGCCTTTGGGTATTTTTTTAGGTGATAGTAATTGTTACATTGATGGACTAAATATCACCATACCTAGTGACTTTGTTCAAAATTTTCTGGTCATCACTCTCTCTTCTAACGTGTTAAGGTTTCGTTTAAATTTGCAGTGAGGGGAGCAGTATTTGGTGTTTTGTATATTCTTCTGGGTAAGCGCATGTGGTTTTTCCCCAATATTCTCGCGGAGGAAGCAACTTTGCGAGAATTATTCCGGTTTTGGCCGAACAAAGATGAAGAAGAGAAACCAAAATGGACAACAAGACTTTTCTATGCAATGGTGGCTGTACTGATCATATTACTCATGAGGCATCATGCTCCTGATGAGGCTGCCAGAGCAAGGTTAGTGCACGCCTTTCTAAACTCGCATACCACTAAAGATATGTCTGAGAAGTCTAGAAATTTGTGGATTATGTTTGAGATCTCATTAGATCTAATTCTTCTTTATGGGGATCGGTCACTAAGGCCAGACATCATTATTTTGGATTGGAGTCTTTTTCTTTAGGGGTTCTTTCTTGTTGGGCGTTTTTGTATGCCCTTCCTGTTTTTGTATCAAGTGTTTTTTCTTATAAAAAAAAAAAAGATATGTCTGAGAAGTCTATGTATGATAATTCACTGCTGCTCTTTTTGAAGCACCCAAATTTGAAGAGCAGTTTAGAATGGGACAAGTTACACTTTGGTGTAGCTGAAAAAATACGACGAGCAGTTTAGAATGGGACAAGTTACACTTTGGTGTAGCTGAAAAAATACGACCTTACTTGTACCTAATCTATTTCCAATAGGCGGGACAACTGTGTCCTTGAGTTGAGGAAATATTCAGTACAAAAGTAATTTGAAAATTGTTGTGTAGCGCGTTTATCATATGATACGAATAATCGGCATTGTCCAACCTTGAATGTCGAAGAAAGTCGTGATACCATGTTCAATTACCTACTGTTAACTGACTTGAATTTTTATTTCTTAGGGGCATCTGTCCCATTTCCCACCTGAGAAGATGTAAATATATGAACAAATACTATCTTTCTGGTTTTGGTCATGAACTGATTTTGCTCTTGCAGATATCAAAAGCGTGTGTCGAATATCATCGACGATGTTCTCGAATGGTCTCCAAGACTTGCTCTTTCTGGGATGATGGAGAAGCAGCAAACAGTGGTGAATGCCACAAATCCAGACCCCGAAATGGCAGAGAACCAAACAGTTGACAGTACAGGTTCGGATTCTATCCCAGAACAACCTGAGCCAGAAATTGTAGACGATGTAGTGGACTCTGATCAATATAATCGCGACAGTGACCATACACATCAGTAGAGGTCTGTTTCAATGTTTTGTGGAAGAGGAGAACCATGATAAATGTGTTCTTATATCAGCTTTGTTTTTTGTTTTTTCTATTTTTGTTAAAACAGTTGGTTTTTGTTACCTATAACCTTTTTAGGAGTCACTGAAGTTGGTTTATATCCAAACTAAAGTGAGCTTTTTTACTGAGTTCTTTATGATTCACACCACAAATCATCTGTGACATGTACATGTAAACTCTCTCTCTTTAAAATGTTGCAAATACTCGTTGATTGATTTTGCTGACATTTGAAGTTGCTTTAATCTCCTGTTTCTATTGTCGAATCGTCATCCATTGCCCGAGTCTCTCTTCTGTGAACCTGTCTCTCCAATTTGCTTTAGTAGTAACTTTAGAGGGAAGAAGCTTTCAACAATCTGGTAGATGAAGCTGGTTGAAGTAATTTCCCTGCTATGAACTTACTTCTTTTGTTTTTCTTTCCCAATAATTGAACTGATTAAAGTTGACTGTTTGAAAAAGGTTGATTGAACTACTCATTGACCAAACCAACCAAAACTTGTGTTTTGGATGGTCTTGGAAGAAGGTTTTATTAACTAAAACCTGTTCAGAACTTTGTGAAACAAAATTTCAGTCAATGGGGTGGGTTTTAACGAGTACTCGATTTAGTTTACGCAGTTCGTTTTGACAACGATTTTATTTTTAAAAACTATGTTTTTCATAACTTTTTTTGTGAATCGAGTAAGCTCTCCTTGCATGCAACAATGCGGTGCTTAACAAATATGGAGCTCCAATTTGTTCTCGAGCCTTGTACTCAATTGCTTCTCGACTCCTATCCAATTCCACTCGGGTTAACGAAATATGTAGGGCACTAGAAAATCTCTCCCTCGTCTAATGGTTTAGATACTATAGGAAGATTATTCCAGGAATTCTTTTTTAATACACTTTAAAAGTAGTTTTTAAATTTTAGAAAAAAAATATGTTTTTTTCCAAAGAAGAAAAAGTAAATGTTATTAATAATAAAGAGAGACTTTCAATTTCTCCATGTTTCAACCAAATAAATGATTTATGACGGTGATACAATGCATATGAACATAGTTAAAATAATTATCAAGGATTAATAAAAAAAAATATTTGCAATGATCTCTGTAAAACTCAAAAGGGCTTCAAGCATTCTCACGTACGCAAGAAGAATCTTTCAGATTGCTCCTACCATTTCTACTTTACACTCATTATTACTCTTACAAGATAAACACTTTATAACTTTTTTCCTCATGATTTAAATTGTTCTATTCCACAATATCATAGATCAAAATATTATAAACTAAATACAGATATACAATGGCCATCAAAGCTGAAGCAAAACTTGTAAACTCCACCCAGTTTTTTATCTGAAAATTATAATTTGAACCAGTAATCTGTCCACCTTAGATTAAAAAATCTAAAAACATTTCAAGAGTAAGCTTTGTGAATCACAAACCATATCCATCCTAAGCCTTATGATCCATTTAGTTTCACTCTGCTATATAATACATGAGGTCAAACTCCCCACTCCCTTCAGTCCCCAGTCATCATAATAAACTCTGTACAAAAAGCCACAAAAAAACAGGAGAATGGAATGAAGGAGAGATCCCAAAGACTTATAAAGAAGCCTTTCAAGCCATGAGATCCTGCAAGTCATATGTCATTCCACATTCGATCTTTTTTCAGAACAGAACAAAGCCAAGAATGATTTGCCGCCTAGCGTGCTCGCCGGGAATGCAGTACCACTTACTTTAACAGCCAAGCAATCGATCCCCCCTAACCGAATTGGGTCGTCGTCGTCTTGGTATTCGCCACTGGTGGTTGGTGCAAGTTGCTACTGAGAGGCCTTGTTCATCGATGAACTTCCATTTCGCTGTTCGGAACCGTCGTTTAGGCAGTAACCACTCTCGTTTGCTTTGTCAGAATGCATCTCGTTTTCATTAGCTTCGTCTTTCTTGGCAAAACGCCCTCCACTACCCCTCGTCCTTCTTATGGCATGCTGGTGTCTAGATTCATGGAGGTATGGCTGTTGAATGAGAAAAGTGAGCAACATAGCCAAAAAGGGAATTCATTTGTATATAGTAAGAGAGTGAGAGTAAATATAATTAATAAGCAAAAGTATTTTGTTGAAATAACTCATTGGTATCAGTACTTAGAATTCAAGGATACAGTTGTACAACCTATAGAGCAGATCCTGTTCAAGAAAAGTCGTTTAATTATACTACTAACCAAAAACATTGTCTATCAGAGAATATAAATCTTGATTAGATGGGTGTTATTATTAAACAGCTTTAGATTGTTCAGTTGTTTCTTTACCCTTTTTCTTTTCTAACCTGCTTTAAGTTCTAAATCGCCAGACCATAAGAAACATTTTGTTATGAAGAATATATTTTCAAACTTCAAGGCACTACCAGATTCTAAGATTTGAAGATGATAACAGAGTACATGAAAGGTTACTCATCAAAATTCAGAAAGTAACCCCCCTAAAACAAAAAAAGAGAGAAAAAACAAAATCCAGTCCACCAAAACTATACAAAATCCACCTTTCTGGCTTTTATCAACTTCTTCTCAGCCTCAGCTTTTGCACGTGCTTGCCTTCGCCTCAAAATTCCTTGGTACTGCTTAGCATTCACAAAAACGGGGTCTTGTGCTATCTCAATGGGCAATGGCATTCTAGCATGCGGTGCTCCAACCATAGGATATCCCTGTCCATTACAAACATTTACAAAAAGAAGCATGAAAAATATTTCCCACTGGAGATTTGTGCAATGAAAACATCAGCTCTCTTTGCATTAGAAAATAATTACAAAATACAACAAATTATGGTAGTCTAACAAACAACTTTGAGAAAATATAAATATCATAAGCATTTTTCTCTGAGTTAAACATGGTACGAAGAGTTTTTTTTTGGAAATGACAAAAGACTGACTCAAAAGAGTGTTACGTGTTAAAAAATATTGGTCCTAGTCCAGATCCATCAGCATTGATCTCCCAACAGTCACATTATTTCATGAAACATCAACGGAATGGACCCGAAAGTAAAAGCAAAATTTTAATTGATATATGATCAACAAACGAATTGAATTCCACAGATTTGGAAGCACAATCCCCATTTTTCATGAACTTGGACCAAGAGCCTTCTGCACTGGAAGCTGAACTTCCATTCTTTACAACAGTCAAAAACCCTATTGGTGTCCTTTGGAGGTGTCATTTGACTTCTGATTTCAACAATTATGGTATTGAGCACAGGCTACTAAAGAAAAAAAAGATGAAAGTGACACCACTCTCTCATTTCTATGAGGTTGAGATAATAACATACCAAGGGCTGGTGACCATAAAAAGCCATCATTCCTCCATAATATGGGTCCTGATATGGATTTGATGCACATGCCTGGCAAGAAACACAGGAAGTTATTCAGTTATAAATTGTACAATCATAACTTTGGCCCACTTCGTAATGGAATCTAGAATCTGGAAATATAAGCACAGCCAAAGAAATAAACAAGATAAATCATTCTCGACTGAAAAGGAACGGAACTTACAATAGAGTGGCCAACAAGTTCGAGTTGTGTAGACTGCGTCGGACATTCACCGTGCATAGCTGGCAGAGTGGATGAAACATGCTGCATCTTTTGAGCATCCAGTCTGTAGCTTCCAGCTGAAATCATGAGAAGCTATTGTTATAAAGTCAGATATAGTTTAGAAAAATTATTTCTCATTGCTAGTGTCATGAGTTTAAACAACTAAACGAAATTTTCAATGTTGCACATTTTCTCTATTGCTTTTCTTTTTAGGAATTTAAATCACTATGTAGTATAGTAAAACTGTACAACTAATTTTCATCATCATGAATTAATGGTTACTTAAGAAACAAGAACATTTGAAGACAACACAAATTTGGTCTATTGCTAATTTTGGTCTTCTTAAGATAGTTTTCAGAAATTATCCTACCAGATTTAACTTTTGACTCAGAAAGTTGTTCTCTACTTATTACTTACTTTTTTATTTTTTTGTTATGACAAGCCTCTCATTACAATAAGCTTCAAATAAGATAAGATTCTATATTGTCAAGCACAAATAGAAAATCCAAAGATGTGAAGAGCTTATTTGAGAGGAAACTTGCTGTAAGAACTAGAAATCAATTAAAGACATACCAGAATGTGGGGATCCAGTAGCTTGCACTTCTTTGGTAACATCATCTTCTTCATCGTTTAAATCATTATTAGACACAGACTGACCATCATTTGACTCTGAACCACCATTAGGGAATTCAAGAGAAGTTGAACTGGAAACATTTCCCCCTACCACAGGCAAGGGAATAGGATTGTACCCAATACCACGCCACCAGGGTTCGTAATAGAGACTTGTGGACGGCGCACCATTTGGATCAGATTCGAGCTGATTATTGGTTTCAGACTTTGACTGCATACCTTCAAACCCTTTGAAACAAACAAAAGAGCCGTGAGTTCTCAATTGCCACTAAAGTAAAGACTTTAATAGTCAGTAATTCCAAAAAGTATCCTTTCCTATTTCCAGTTAGAAAGTATCATTTAATGTCAATAGTAATGGTAATGGATTCCCCTATTATCTGTTATTTAAGGAGTTTTAATTTATGATCATAGTAAGTTGAAAGCTACACAGATCCTTGTAATGGTCCAAATTAGTAGTCCTATCTGACCTAATTACACAGACAGTTAAGGAACTCTTAGACTATTCAGTCTCTTTTTTTATGGAAAATCTTTCTTCTCCCTCTACTTTAGCCAGGGTGAGGAGTAAAGAATAACTGCAGCAGACAAAAAGCATATCAAATAAATGTTTTCATGATTCAATCCTGTACTATTCCATCTTTTTGGTACCTTTTGCCTAAATTGTTATCTCCATTTCTTTTTCTTTATGTAATATGTGTGACTAAATTTAGTTTTCCTGGATGGCTACACTTCCACTTTTTTTTTCTTCTATAGTAATGAGTTTATGGAACCCTCACATCACTCTATAAGTTTAGGGTTAAATTCTATGCATAACACCTTAATCTAAGAAGACAAAAAGGCACGACAAATATGAAAAAATGCGGCTCAACAAAATACTATCAACCGGTTCATATCAAACTCTAACAAGAATTTGCACCAAACGCCAATGCTCCACAAATAAAGGCAAACCAAACTAAGCTAAACTAAAAACAATTCCAAGTTAAAGCCTAAATTAACCAACAAAACCAACGAGACTGATATTGATCCTATTCTTGCAATCAGTTGATACCAAATAAACTAACAACTAAACCTGAAAACTATATACCCCTAGAAAATCACTATAGCTTTGTTTCTCTTTTAACCAATTGGAGAGATTTCTTGTAACTCCCTTGGTTTGGGATCTTCCCCTTTTGTATTCCTTTTCCATTTCATTACATTAATGAAATCTGTTTCTTTTCCAAAAAAATATATATATATACCCCTAGAAAATTAATAAAGTCTCACCTTGAAATTAATAAAAACTATATCCCCAAAACAGTTTCTTTCCACCACCCTAGCTTCCTTTCAAGATCCAACAGAGCATAGTACCAGGTCATACACACTTGGTGCATGATTAAATTTAACATAAGGAGTTACCCAAAGCAGAAGAAGAACTAATCTTAGGTAATTACACTTCAGTTCTAGACCCCTTCCCCATCCCCTTTAAGCTAAAAAATGTAGAAATTAAGTAGAAAAACATTCATCCACTGGTTTCCATAAAGTTGCATCCACTAAATTCCTATCAACAGAAAATCAAGTTTGATAAGTTAACCTCCGAATTCACCCACAAGCTACGTGTTTCTTGGCACCCAAATGATCACAAAAGTAGACTGGCAATAATTTATCCAGTTTCAAAGCTGTGATCATGTGACACACAAACCATCAAGTAACCTCCGACAAGCATAAAAAATCCCCAATCCGAGAAAAGCAAAAAAACGGAGCACGAACAGGAATTCTCTGCCAACACATCACCCAATTACTCAAACTCTCCCAACAACCAATCGCAGAAAGAACCCAAAAGCGAACAAGGGCACAGAAATTCCCAAAAGAAAAAGTGAATTGGGGGAATACCCTAGAAGCCAAACACCAGATACCCAGCAATAGAAATAAAAAAACCCAACAAAAATCGCTTACCGGCGGAAGAAACAATCGTCCAGACTCCAAAGGGAGAAAGGGGAAAGCAAAGACGAGAGAGAAGGGGAAAAAAAAGGAAAAAAAAAAAAGGGGAAATCGAAACGGTGGAGAGAATTGAGAAGATTGAAGGAATTAAAAAAATCCCTCCCGAATTCAGAATACGATTATGAGAAAGAATTGTGTTCTCTCTCAGTAGGAATTGGAAGACTCTTTTTTTTTTTCAGGTTTCAACTTTTGGGGCATTTAAATCTCAAAGCTATGGATATGATAATCTCACCTACTGTGGGACCCACCAGAGCTTTTTTCACTTTCCACTCACCCACGTGGCAGCTTCCCCTCTGTCTCTCCATTGCTTCATTTCATTTCCTCCTTTCTTATTATTATTATTATTTAACTTTAGGGAGAGAAAAAAACTTTTCTCCCCGGTGCTTAATTTAATTATGTATTTTTAAATTGATAATAATATAGGTTGTATTTGGTCGGTGATTAGATAATAGAAATTTGAAAATAATACAATAAAAAATAGAATTATATTTATCAAAGTTTCTATTGAATGTAATTTTGGATTTTAAATTTTAAATTTTAAATCTGAAAGCGTTAAAAACATATAAAAATGTTTTATGTTTGGATCACATGATGTGAAAATAGTTTTCAAAAACAAATATGTCAAACGCATAATCCAGATTGTCAATTAAATAGACTTTTGGTCTCTCAACTTCGATGAGTAACAACATATTCCAAGTAGTTAAAATTTGTAATGATATAATACTTATCGTAAAAAATTTCATCATGATTTTTATTATGTAATGATTTACTCTTTTTAAAAACTCTCATTAAATTTTAATGTAATTTTTTACGACAATGACTAAATTATTTTAAACTCTAAATTACATGGGACTAAATTGTTAAATACTAAAACACAGTGAGTAATTTGTTATAAAATTTAAAAATACATGGACTAAATCGTTACAAACTAAAATTATTTACTAAATTGTTACTCAAAGTATAAAGTCCATGATAATTCTTTTTTTTTTTTAACTTTTAAATTGTATTTGATAGAGATTTTAAGTCATACTTTTAAATCCAATACTAGCTAGACTTACCTATAGGACTCTAAAACACAAATTTATGGAATATTCTTACTCAAATCTAGCAACTATCACAATTAATTAATAAATATCAAATTCGAATGAATGAATAAGATATTTATTGCTATTTTGAAAGTAAATGCTCCGATATCTAGCTATCTAAGATATTTATTGCTATTTTGAAAGTAAATGCTCCGATATCTAGCTATCTATATAATCGTTAAACTACAAAAGAAAAAAAAAAGGTCATGCAGGAACGATTGAAAGTATAATAAATATGAAAAATCATAAGATTCAATCCCAATAGTTCTTTTCATGAATATAGAAATCCTAAGATTTACGTTTTTTTTTTCCTCAAAGGACTAAGATATTGGGTCATTTAAATTTCGGTGTAATGGATGTTTTTTAAAATATAAAATACGAAATATAATAGTTATGAATTGAGACTTCAAAAATTTGAATTTATAAACAATATTTTCATCAAATGTGTTATTTATTTTGTAATCTAATTTAAAATTTTAAAACTAAACAAAATAAGTTGGTTAAATATTTTGTTTTTGGTTTTCTGTTTTTTTAAATTAAGCTTATAAAAAATATTACTTCTAAATTTTATATGTAATTATTTTACACTTTACGTAATTATTTGTTTTGCTATCTATTTTTTTTAAAATATTTTCATAATCTAGTAAAACTTTGAAAAATAAAAGAAATAATTTTAAAATATTTCCAATCTAATTCTTATGGTCAAAAATATTGTTAAGATTTAAGAATGATTATTTAAGAATGTTAGATCAATCAATTAACGAGATACCAAATGTGTTTATAAAAGATTAGGAGGACCTAAATTATTATAGGGTTTATATTAGTAGGACCCTAAATTATTATAAAATTTACATTTTGGAGACTACATCGTTAAATACTAAATTTGAAAAACTAAATTGTTAGGTATTTAAAAATACTAAGAGAAAAAACGAAACAAAATAAAGGATTGTGAGGTGGGTGAGGGTGATTATATCAGTCCCACTTTGGAGAAAAATCGAGAGATTGGAAGCCACGTAATGCGGTGTTGACTTGACTGTACCAATTCTCCCAACACGTGGCGCCAAAGCCTGGACCACTTCAGCAAACAACTCACGCCACTGATCGCCACGTGTCCCTACTTTATTTTCTTTTCTTATTAAATTCAATTATGCTCCAACCTTTTTTCTTTCTCGTTTTTCCCCTTTTGATAAAACTATGCTTTCACACGACCAACAATTTATAATTTAAAGTCTAAAATATTGATTTTTATTATGAATATTATCCAAAATCAGATGTCCAGGTATCAAAATATGAATGTCTAAATAACCCTAACCTATGTATCAATTGTATCAATTTCTTTAATTTGTTTAGTATCTTCAAGTGACGAGTTGACCCTTAACCATGTATATCTATATTAGTATCCAGATATAACACCTTATGGTTGTACAAATTATCTCTAAATATTGGCAAATCATAGTGGAAAAATTTTTGAGTGGATTTTGGTGGAAATTTATGTAGATTCTAAAACTGTGTTTTTTTAATTTTCAAAATTCCAAATTTATATTTTAATTCTATATTTTGTTTAAATCTTGTATTTGTTAGTGACTCGTGATTCATTTTGCTCCATAATTTTACAAGAGTTTTAATCCTTTTGGGGGGTTTTTCTATAATTTAATTTCTAATGTTTAAAAAGTTTTTGATTAGAGAGGTATACGTCAATTATCGCTAAGCTATCATCGCTTAGACATGTTTAAAAAGTTTGAATATTATCTATTTTTTAGTTATATTATTTCTATGGACATGAGTTGATTATAAGATTATATGACATTATACGTGATAAAGTTGGTATAGATTTCCCAACTATTTAAACATAGTTCAACTAGTTAAAGTATCTATTTTTAACTAAGTGGCAAGAGTTCGGATCCATTTTACCAAAAGTACACTAATATCTTTTAACATTAGAGATTAGAGAGACTGAATTGAAAAAAATACTCAAATATTAAGGACTAAAAGATATATTTATCATAGGTTTGAATAATTCTATAGGAAAACATGAGTTTTGTGATTCAACTCTAAATTTGATTTTTTTTTTCTCGACTGGAACTCTAAATTTGAGTCAGTGGTTGAAACTAATATAATTGGGTTTTTTTTTTCTTATTAACATTTAAAGTTTGGACGTGATATCTATATGATCTTTAAGGTTTCTAAAGTGACTTTTTTTTTTATCTTGAGATATAGAAAATAGTTGCAAATGGTCCTGAGTTTTTATTGTTAGTTGAAATTTGAAAAATCAAGTGACACTCCTGAAAATAGATATCAATTATTTCCACGTTTCTTTAATTTTAGGATTGAATACGATGAAATTGAAAGTTTATAAATATGAGAAAAGTATTTTTCTTCATTTTTCAAATAAATTAAGTTGACACAATATATTTTAATAATTAATACCAATACCTAATAAGATGACTTAGAAAGGAAGGTCTCTAACTGTCATTTTAGTTGAGTAACTTCATCGTAAGAATTGAAGTATCAACTTTTTGTTATATATATCTTATCTAAGGACACCTCGAAGTGATATCAGATCTTAGACAAGACTTTGTTAGAGACCTTAATATATTAAGATTTTCGCAGCATCAATAATTCTTATTAATACTTTATTTCAATGTTTTTTTCTTTATTAATTAATTCTTGAATACCATTGTCAATTGTTTTATTTTCTAATAATCTAATTTGTAAGTCAACTCAAGCATTCATATGAAATGTATTCATTTCTAGATTCATGACTTCTATGTCAATTATAACTCATTTTATCTCCTAATTGACTTGTATTAGATTTAATACCAAATAATTTACAACAAAAATAATAAATTTTATCAAAATCAAGATACCCGAGTATCTCAGGAATGAAGATTTGAAAATGAAGATTTGAAAAATGTCTGATGAATATTTGAAAAATGTCTCATTTTCATCTTTTTGAAAAATTGAATAACTTTGTGATCATTTTCTACCAATAAATCAATTAAATTAGAAGCGAATTTTTCCATCTTCCTTGATCATATGTGTTATAATCGGAATGCATCAGTAAACCTAAGTAAAACTTTCATACATATTACAATTTACATTCAATTTTTCTATTCTTCTTTTTTTTCTTAAGTTTTTCCTACCTAGATTCATATTTTCTTTTAGACATATTGATATTCTAAGTAAGTAAAATCTAAACAAATCTAAAATATTAAGGTATTGAACAATCAATAATATATGAAATAAAATTTTTAAAAAAAGTAAAAGAATTTGAATGAAAAAACCTGAAACTTTAAAGCTGCAATTAATAATGATTTCTACTCTAGCAATTAATAATCACAGGAGTTCCGAGATTTCGTAGAAGATAAAACATGAAGAGTTGAGATTTGAGAGAGCAAGTTAAAGTTAAAATTAGTCCAACCTACCTAATATATATTTATTGAGTTTTTTTTTCTTTTTTTTAAGAAACTTGAACGGTTTTAATGGTAAAAAATAAATAAATAGATAAGGAACCCCACTCTGAATTTGGGAGAGTCGAAGGTTTTAATGGTAAAAAATAAATAAAAAGATAAAGAAGGTAGAAGGTCTCCCATCTGAATTTGGGAGAGTTGAAGTTATATCAATGGTTTAGATTTTAAAGGAAATTTGAATGGAATTATTAAGGAAAAAAAGAAGATAAAAAGTTAACCAATTTGAAATAATATCTAATTAAAATTGAGAAAAAATTTATGAGCTCATCCTAAGATAATTATATACATTTTTAGTTTGTATTTTTAATATTATAATAAAATTTATAATTATTTTTATATTTTAATTTAGTTTAAATTGGTCCTGATCTTATCTCTTATCTACTAAGTTATGTTTGAACAAACATGTAATATATTATTAATTAACTATATATTTCAACTTAAATTATTTAGTGAGGTTAATAATATCTTATTAGTAATAAGACAATAATACTTTTATTTTTCATTTGAAAAAGAAAAAAAAAGGAAGAAAATAAAACTTCCCTTCAATTTATCTTTTCAGTATCACAACTCACAAGTGTTTTCATAAAAAGAAATTAATAATAATTTTAGCGGTC